CTTGCGCTTTCCTGCCAGTCCCTATCCCAGCAGCACCTCTGGTCCTCAACCACAGTTGCTGCGTGCCTGCTCTCAACTCCCTTTAGACAGCATGGGTCTTGGAGACCCCCGACTCCATGCCAAGACACTCAAGGGAAGGGGCCCGAGGGCCGAGCACTGCTGGTGCCCCTCACCTGCGTCTCTGAAGTGCAAAGCCACCTGGGCGAGGACCCTGCATGTATCCCTGTGCCCAGCCTCTGCCCAACAGCTGTCATCGCCCTCTGGGGTCAGGAGGGAGAGGCCTGCTGCGCTCTGCTGTGAGGTCAGGCCTCAGGACTTGGCACCGGGAGAACTTTGTTCCATGGCTCAAATCTGCCCAAAGGTTTGTTTTTTTGTGCGTGGGTAGCTGGGGACGGAGAAGGGAAGAAAGAGAATGCGGGGACGCTGGGTAAACTGTGGAGGAAAAGAGAGAGGAAGGGAAGGGAGGGGAAGGGAGAGGAAGGGAGGGGAGGGGAGGAGAGGGGAAGGGAGGGGAGAGCTGGCCCTCAGTAGATGGGGGTGCTCTGCTGCTGAGAACCAGGTGCGCAAATGGAGGAGCCCTACACAGCCACGCATCATGGCCTCTTCTGGTTCAGCAGGGCGACTGCTCCCCTAGGCGGTCCTCTCATCGCCTCTCAGGTGCTCACAGGCAGATGGAACTTGGGCTGTGGTTATCTGATGGCTTGACAGGGCTGGACACGCAGCGTGTGGCCCAGAGCTCCCAGCCCCAGGCGGCTTCAGGTCAAGGTAGGCCCAGGCCCAGAAGCAAGGACAAGACCTAGACCCCGTGTCTGAATGGGGAAGGACGAGGGCTCAGGCAGAGGTGTCCTGCTGTGGCCAGCAGGGGGAGGGGCACCAACAGCAAGTTCAGCCAACATGAGGCAGCTCTGGGAGGGGCCCACAGGCCTCGCTAGGGCTCCTGGATGTAATCTCAACCCTGGGGGACTCAACTCTAGGGACATTCCTTGAGAGGAATGGTTTGTTGCCATCTCTGGATTCTCCACAGCCCTGGTAAGCCTGGCACACCACACAGCAGGTCCACACAAGTGGGCCTGCATGGGGCCAAGTAGAAGGGTGGCCCTGCCTTCTCCAGGAGGTTCTTCTGGGTGATGCACGAGTACCTGCTCCTCTTCATGCCAAAGAGGGTCGCGGTGGGCTAGCACATAAGCATGTACTGTGCTGCCTGATATGCTGCAGTTCCTCACTAAATGTTTGTTGAATGAATAAATGACTGCACGGACTTAAATGATGATCGACACATCATTTGGTATGTGGCATCTTGGTTATCTCCTTACACTTCAGGAGGTGGCCATGCCACACAAGCTCCCTTAGACCACATTAAGTGAAGGGAAAATGTTCACAGACCCAAGCTGTGAGAGCTCGAGACTCACCCTCCACTCGACAGGGCACTGTGCTTCTTACTGAGACCCTCACACGATTCTATGAGCTGTGCCTATGCACAGATCAGGAAGCAGCGGTACAGAGACGTGAGGTCCTTGGCTAAGATCACACAAGCTCGGCAGCATCAGGGTGGGACTGGTGCCGCGGCGCCTCAGCCCCACACTCCCCTGACCCCGCGGAGTCTGAGACCAGGCTGGCACCCTCGGTTCTCAGGCGGCTGTGTTTCCGGTCAGACCCAGGGGAGGGCGTGGTCCAGGCATGCAGGCCACGCCCCTTCGCGGTGGATGAAGGAGACCGAGAGAAAGGCAACCAGGCGTCCGGCCAGGTCCTCCCTCCCAGCCAGGCCGGTGCTGGCTCTTGCGAAAAGTCTCACCTCGGAGTTAGCATAACAAAACTTTTAATTTAGATGTTTTCATCTCTCTCTCCAAGTAAAAATAAGTTTAAAATAATGACTGTAATAAATGAAGGTAATTAATTGTAGTTTGTTCCTTTACTGTCTAGTCAGCTTAATTTTACCTTTTCAACTAATAATGAGAAAATAATTTCTGTGCTCGGAGGGTTAATGATATGTAACTGTGAGAACTGCTAATTGCATGTTGCAATCCATCCATCAACAACCCCATCTGTGCGACTTGATTATGTTTGCTAAATTATTGCTTTGAATTATCTTTCATAAAGCAACTTTTGTAATTAGCGGGGCTTTCGTCTTGCTCTTTTCTCTGTGCACAAGGATATTCAAACTTTGGCCATTTCAAGCTGTCTCCATTAAGCCACCTTCTCTGGCTGTCTTTGTTTCCCCGAGCAGGGGAAATCATAACTGTCCTTTAAGCAATCAAGGGAGAAAAAGAATCTTCCTTGATTCGCAGCAGGGTACATTCACTTCCTCCCTACTCCCTCCCACCAGCAGGGGGGAAAAAGGAAAAGAAAAAGAAAGAAAACAAAAGGAAAAAACACAAGAAAAGAAAAAGACCCATTCACACGCAGTGTATGAAGATAAAAAGACAGCCGGAGCCTGTATGCGCCAGGGCTGGTGGAGCGGATTTGAGGAACCAACCTGAACACGATATATTTCAAGCAGAGGCGAGACTGGAGCCGGGGAGGCAGGGACGACGGGCGGGCCATTCAGCTGCAGCGGCGTTTTATGGGCTGGTGTATATGACTTGGGACAGTATTTGCCCCAGGGAATATTTCCAGAAGGTGATTAATGCCCACTTGGGAACCTGCAGCTCCAGCCCAGAGCCCCGTGGACTGCAGGAGGGAAGCGGCGTAAAGGATGAGCTCTCATTAGAAAAATTAAAATGAAAATCATATTTGGGCTATAAACAGTCCGTGTGTGAGCAGCTTGCTCGGGACCAAGAGGAGGCTTGTTATTAACACCTTTCTTTGACAGCTGTGTCCCCCGTACCCCCAGGCATGGGGAGGGACCTGCGGGTGCCAGGGCTTCCTCAATAGATCATGAGGAAAGCAGGGGTTTTGGGAATACGATTCCAGAGCAATGTAGTCTTTGGTACATTAAAGGCATGATGGAAAACCCTCTTAAGAAAATGAACGAAGTTCTTTGACGATCTCCAGCTACTAAAGCCACGTCTGTGGAACACACCACGTGGGCTTCGGAAACAAGTGCTCAGCTCTGCCCTCCCCTCCAGCACCACTGAGGCTTTCTCTGCCCCTTAACTGAGCACCAGCTGTGAGCCACCGTGCTGTGCTGATGCCTCGGAGCTGCCTAGGTCTTTGAATCCTCAACTGGCACGGGAGGGAAGCTGGAGTTCAGAGAGGCTGAGGAACCTCCCCAGGCCACAGAGCTGGCTAAAGCAGCAAGGCTGAGATTCAAAGCAGGCTGCCCGCGCCCCCTGCGGCCCTGCGCTTTGCGGTGATCCCTGCGCACAGCCAGAGTTCAAACCTGTCTGCTATTGCAAAGGTAACCCACTTCCTCCAGGGACAGGAAGCCCCCTTCTTTTGGATATGAAGCCTTGGCACCCAGAGAGGGAAAGGCAGCTGCCAGCCCAGCCATAGTAGAGGGTTACACTCTCTGAACTAGAGGTCACTGACTTGCTCTTCCTCAGTCACAACTCTGTGACGATGAAGGGAAAATTATTACCCATTTTACAGATGAGGAAATGGAGGCACAGAGAGGTCGAGTAATTCCCCTAAGGTCACACAGTCGGTAAGCAGCAGAAGCAAGATTCAAATCTCTCTTGAAGCCCTCCGAGTGCCAGACACGACATTAACCCCTTTCCCTGCATTGACCTCTGTCAATCCCCCAAACAACACAAAAAGACCTCTAGCGCCTTCACCTCCCCTCACAGATAGGGCCACTGAGGCTGCAGGAGGCCAGCAGGAGCTCTGCCCCCGCCAATCCCAGCACAGGAAGAGCCGAGAACGTGACACTGGCTCCAGCTCTGTGCCTGTCTCCGGGCTGCAAGGGGCCCAGCTGCTGAGGAAGCTGGTGCCCTGAGTGGCCCTCCCAGGACCAGGGGTCGGCAGATGGGAAGTTCTGCTTTTTAAAAACTGCAAAGCCAGAAAAACACATTCCTAACATTATTTCTTCTTTTGGGTTTTGGCCCCACCCACCTCCTGGTCCAGGTACCTCACAACCAAACAAACCAGTCCCGAGTGGCCTTATAAATAAATATAAATAAGCACACCAGTCCACTAGGTAATAAAACGAAGGGCTGAGAATATGGAGATCAGCAGCACTGGTGTAAATCTAGTTCCCTCCCTCCCTCCCTCCTTTCCTTCCTTCCTCATGGCGCTGGGATTGAATCCAGGGTCTTCACACTAAGCTACGTTCCCAACTCTTTAAAAAATTTTTATTTTGTTACTAAGTCTCTAAGTTGTCCAGGCTGGAGCTTGCCATCTTCCTGCCTCAGCCTTCCAGAGCGAAAAGTTTGGTTTACTTTCAATAGTGCCTTACACGGCCCCTTGCTCCCAGCCTCCCTTTATGTGCCAGCCTGGGGTGATTCTGGTCTTTTCCTAGACTGTGCCAGTCAGGCGAATGAACATTCATAGAATCCTGGCCACAGAGTCAAGCGACAGGAGAAACAAGCAGATTCCGCCCCATCACAGTGCTCTGGAAAGGCAAGAGGAAGGATGTGCCTGGGATGGCTTGGCTGCCGTGGAGAACCGGGGCCCACAGGTTGGCAGGAAGAGTTCAGACAGTGCTGACTTGATCCACAGAGGGGGCTGGTGGAAAAGCCTGCTGAGGGGGCTGGTAGCTGTCTGCCCTTATCTGCAAGGCTGCTTTAAGAACCAAGCTGCACAGAATGCCAAGGTGGGGCCCAGGTCCCCTCGAACACACCGCCAACTTCAAAACCTGGAACCCAGGCGGGAAGGTGAGGAGGCTCATGCATGGTCTCACATCTTACGCAGCCGAACAGTGCGAGGGAGGGAGAAGGAGGCTTCCGGGGATCAGCCTGGAATTCCATCAACCAGGACACCCGGGACTGGGAAGGGGTTTGCGTCGGGGCAGGACAGCTCTCTCCAGAGCTCTCCGAGGCCGAGGCTGCCTCTGCCACCTCCAGGTGGGATGGGACGGGGATCCAGGTGTGTTTTTCTGACACGCCTTGGGCCTTGGGTCTTACCTCGGCTTGGAAGCTTTTTAATACGGGCGCCACCATCTCTCTGATTTCCTGAAAAAGAGATCAGCGAAGGGTTCATCACAGTGCCAGATGGGCACCCCCACAGCCCCTGACTGTCGTCCCCTGGGGTCAGCGTGTCCAAGTGTGCCCCGCGGGATGCGCACTCTATGGGATTTCGTAAGGGGCACACACACACTCAGGGTACTGAACCAAATCAGGCTGAGAAACAGCGAGTCTAAGAGGTCCCTTTCCTGAGGCACTTCTCAGAGCCTTTAACGTGCGTGATACACACTGGAACTTTCTGGAAGAGGGACAGAGGAAGCAGTATTTCCCACGTGGATTTAGCGCAGTTTGGTCCCTTCTGGAACGGGTAGGTGAGCACAGACACTCTGACTCGGGCTAGTGGCCAATGCTCTCTTCTCTGCGCTGTCATCAAAGCCCTTCGGCAGCTCCCTCTGCCCTGCCAGGAGTCACTCAGGGCCTGTCTGCTGCAGCTGCTGTCTCCCAGTTGCCACCATCCCACCGTGACTGTGTCTTGTGTCTATTTCTATACCTGTGTCCTTCCTCACCACAATGCACAGCCAATTTCTGGGGACTTGCTGGGTCCCCTTGCACCTGCGGAGCTCAGCTCAGAAGGGCTCCCCCAGAGCTGATGGACACTATGGGCGGGAGCTGTCTTTAAGGGACATCTGCTCCGGCCACCGGGGGCCTCCAATTTCCAGACCTGAATTTCTTGACTTCCTTATTGACCTTGTGGTTCTCAGGCCCAAGGCTCCCCTGGCAGATTCCTATGGGCGCTTTTCTGCAGTTTAAGAGGGAGGCCTTAGAACTACAGGTCCCAAAACTCCAACTCTGAAACCTCTGGTTTCCTCTGGGATCCGCAGTCAGCCAGAGCCACAGAAAACTGATGGGAGGGGGAGGTGAGGGGGCTGGAGGGGGCGACAAAGAGAAAGAGAAGAGATGGGCAGAAGGATACAGGTGATCAGGGAAAGAAACCCATTCATTCTGTTTTGTTTTGTTTTTGGTCTTTTTGAGACAGGGTCTTGCTATGCAGTTCAGGCTGGCCTTGAGCTCACTTTATAGCCCAGGCTGGTCTTGAACTCACAAGAATCCTCCTGCCTCAGCCTCACAAGTGCTGGGATTACAGGTGTGCACCACCATGCCTGGCTTAAGAAACCCATTCATTCTGAAAATAAGGCTGTGTTGCCTTTGCCCTTGGAAAGACCTCTCAGTCCTGGGTCCCCTCCTCACTAATTTCTGTCCCCCAGGTGCTCTCTGAACTGCTGATACACTGACATAAACGGGGGGATGCAGACAGTGCTCGTGAACCCCACGGATCTGGTCCCAAGGGGCCTCAGTGCAAAGGCTGGGTGATGGAGGAGATGAGGTATGAGACACCAGGCCACAGCGGTGAACCCAAGTGCCCACTGGGGTCAGGCAGGAAGTGGACAGGGGGAGCTGGGCTAAGAGGATGCAGTGCCTTGGGTCCCGCTAACAACCCCAGCACGGGCATGGAGCCTGCGGGCTGCAAAATCTGCCAGACAGCCTCAGAAGACACTGGAAAGCCAATTTGCAGGTAAAATCTGAGACGCTAAATGCTGGAGACTTACAGACTAAATAAAACACACAGCAGGTGACTCCCGGTCCAGGTTCAGGAAATGTTAGTGACCTCTTCAGGGTCACACAGCAAGAAGGTGGCACAATTGGGACTTGAGCCCAGACCACCAGACTCCCCGCGCAGGCCTTCTCACACCCCTCCAGGCAAGTGAGTTCAAAGGACTGGAACCTGGGAGCCACTGGAGGGGCGTCTGCCGGGGGCTGTGTCCGCCCGCTCTGCTGAACCGCGGGGGAGGCCGGGCGGAGGCACGAGCAGCAGGTGAGCTGGCACCAGCCAGACGATGCTCTTAAATAAAGCCTTGGCACAACGCTCCCACCGGGTGAGACAAATTCCAAAACTGAGAATTTTTATAGCCGTGACTATAACAGGAATGGAAACTTATTCCTCCTAATTACATAATTGCATAATTATGCAGTATTAAAATTATGTAAGTCAAACTCGGAGGCTTAAAGCCTGGCCTGGATTTCCCTCATCACCTGGGGGTTCCACAAGGACGGAGGCCGGGGTGCGCAGGGGCGTTCACTGTGCTGAGGAGAGAGGACAGACAGAGGGTCTAAGTGGACCAGAGGGAGAGGTTGAGAAGGAGAAGGTGCGCAGGCTCTGAAGATCTGCAGGTGACTCAGCTCTGCTTGCCAGAGCTGGGCAGGTCAGAGTCGCTCTCACTCCGGGGAGGAAACTCGGCTTAAAGGCCAAGCCGTGCTGTTCAGGCAGAGGGGCGGGGAGTGGAGGCGGTGTCCGCCAGCATCACCCAGGGCCTTACAGCATTCGGGATTAAAGCGAGGACCTGACTTGGCTTTTCTGAGGCTGTGACACGGGAGACACCCTCAGCTCTGAGTTCATGCCTCCTGCACACACAACCTCTCTGTCCTCAAACCTAAGTTCCATCGAGACTTGATCCACAGACAATTTCTAGCTAAATTCTAGGCCCTGCTCTTGCCTTAACCAGAGATGTCTATGAAGGTGTGAGAAGGATCTTATAGCAAAGGGACTGGGGCTGACTTGCGGGAGGCCTGATTCCTGGCTAGGCCCTCCTCCATCAACAAGCGAGCAACAGGAGCCTGGGGTGCGGACAGGCCGGGTGTCACTGGCGGACTCAAGGTCTCCGCCTGATGGCAGACTCTGCGCACCTCCTCCAGGGTCCAGCACTCCTGAGTAGGTCAGGACGGAGCACCGGAGCGCTGCAGCCTTAGCCTTCTGCTGCTCGGAGGGAGACACAGGGGGCTATGGGTTAGGCCTGGCCTCATGTCTGCTTCCCGTGACAGTGCTGGTGTGTCATATCCCTGCCTGTGTAACAGAGTTAGAGGACTTTATTTTTTCTATTTGTGTTTATGCTCATCATTTTTTTAAATTTGGGAAGCAACAGGGGGGCCTGATAGAGGGAAGAGAAGAATTCGCACATTCACCCTGGCAAGAACAGAAACAAGTCTGTGCCAGTCTGTTCCTCTCGGGGGTCCTTCCACTGCTGGGGGCTGGTCATTCTCGGGGCCACCCCACGGCAGCGGAGAGCCGAGGCTGGCAGCTGCAGCTAGCAGGGAGGTGATGTGCAGGGGGAGAACCGGTGCATTTACAGGTGGTGGGGAGAGCTTGGGGACGGCAGTGGGATCCATCTCCGCCATCTCACAAATGCCAATGAAAAAGCAAAATAAAATCAAGAGCTAGCGCCAAACTGTTTTGCTGTCAAGGCATTCAACTTCGATACCGACGTGGAGGGCAAATGGATGTCTCCTGGAGTCCTCAAAAACAATGACTTTAATGGAGAAGCGCTTTGCCCTAACTTCAGACAGCACTGCTGAGCACCGCTATGCCGAGAGACCCCGAAAGGCGGGGGACCGTAATTTCTCTTTGTGGCTAATTAGCTTCTTTTCTTGTTAGTCACTTATGTCTACAGTTTTCAAAATATAGTTTGAACAGAGAAAAATCTGCATTCCTACTGAGTTAATTCTATAACAGCAAATATACTGTACCTCAGGTACATTTTTCTTAAATTCCCGGCGGAGTTCAATTAAATGTTTATGAGAATGTTCACTCTCCTCCTGCCGTGCAGACAGCTCAGAAGCGACGGAATTAAGCTCCTTCTGGAACAATAAGAGAAAGAGAGAGAGAGAGAGGGAGAGAGGGAGAGAGGGAGAGAGGGAGAGAGGGAGAGAGGGAGAGAGAGAGGAAAAAGATTTTTTCCTCTTTTTCCTTTTTAATCATTGCACAAAATAGCACACCGAACAAGTTTTTGTAACTTACAAAGCTTAGAAAAGATATTGACTCCTGGCACAAAGGAATAATTTACAAAACCGGGGATGAAACCAGAAAAAAAAAAATTCAGGACAGCTTTTTCGCTCGCTGGAAGTTGGGCCAGTTCAATAATCTCCCATAAAGTTGGGTGGAGTTGTTGGTTTTCTTCCCCCCTCTCTTCCCCACCCCCGCCCCACCTCTTAAATTTCCAAAGGAGTGATGGCATAAGCTTGTCAGTAACTGTAGAAAACATCTCCAAACCGTGTCAAAATAGTAAAGTGCGGCATATTGTATGGGCATATTATAGTGTAAGAAAGTGCTGTCGACAGCTTTCATATATCAGAGGTGGGAACTGTTCCAACTATGACTTACTTACACTTAAAGGTTCATAAATACGCCTCTTAAGATATAGATGGCTTTTTAATTTCAGTAGATTTTGGAAAAATGAAGGTGCCAATAAGAAGCACACTGACCTTTTGTGTACCCTACGGTAAATCATCTAAGGTTCACTTCGAGTATAAGAAATATTTCATTGAAGACTCCAAGACCGGGAGGAAATGGATTGGAAGGCGCTTGTCTGCGTGTGTGCAATGAAGGCGTCAGACCGGGGTTTTTCTCAATGTACCAGCAAGGGAAAAAAGACAGTGAGAAGGAAGGAGAGACGCTGCATCTATAACAGCACACTCTTCCCAGACAATGTCTGCTGGTCGTACATGTATATCTGGTCGCCCTTCTTGAAGCTTTCTTCACTTTCACGGTGGCAGTTTCACAGAGGGAGTACAATTCACCACGAGTTGTCATGGATTTCATTTGCATAATTCAAGAAATGCTCTGTTTATGTGGTCTGCTGCTTTCTGGCACCATCTCGAGATGGGCTTTTTTTCTGGACCATAACTCGAGGAGCATTTCTGTATATATCACCCGATTATATTTGCAGCAATCAAGCCCCATAATTTCCTAAGTCCAGTGGTGCAATAAATTTCTTCAATCAGATTTATTAAAAACACACACGCAGATGCAGAGTGTATTTCCAGGGTGAACTCTTTAATCTAACATATGTATGATGAGGCCCGGCACCGTGTTGAAAGACCCCATTTGTCATTGCTAATACACATTCATCTTGCACACACAATGAAACACTTTTACCATTAGATAATGAAATAAAAGTACTATTAACCTACTGCAAATCCTTTTCCCTCGAAGAGACGAAATGCATGGTAATTGTCTTATATCATGTCTGAGAGTCGCTAAGTCTGCTCAAAAGCAATTCACCTTACCACCATAAGCCTGGTACCCCAAGCTTGGGACCGCTGCCTCTGGCCTCTGGAGACTTCTGGAGTAATCCAGGAAATAATTTCTATTTCTAGAGAAATGTCTAACCTCTTGAGAGAATCATAGGATGAGGCTGGAAAAGGCAGAGGTACAAAAATAACTGAAAACGTTCCCCCAGAAAGGCGGCGGGTGCTCTCCAAGGTGCTGAAATAAATTCTTACAGGGGCACGGGGTAAACCTACTTCCAACCCCAGATTCCCCTGTAATTTTGAGCTAGTTGAGGAACAAGGTATGAGAAAAAAGGGAGACTTCTCTCCTATCACCACTTAAAACTAAATGTAGTTTCCAATAAACAGACCACAACTGACCACAACCGAAACGTCAAGAGACTGGGGAGAGGGTGTTTGTAGCGCTAGATAAAGGTTGACAAAAGCCAACAGCTGGTGCAGTCAGGTGGACAGAATCTCACTTGGCAGGAGACAAGGAACTGGAGGGCCATGGTCAATCTGAGTAGTAGCAGAGCACTTGTCAAAGTTTTTCTTATTTCTTTTGAAGACAAAGATGTGATTTTTACATTGCTGCAGGACAAACAGAACTGGAACTTAGGTTTACATCACTTGATTTGGGGCTCTCGTGTTTGACACTGTGCTTCTTATCTCAGAGACACACTTAACCAGCATCACAGCAACCAGGACAGGTGCTGGGAGCTGGACTTCAACTCTCATTAAAAATACCCAACCCAGGTTCTGAAAAGAAATTTCGGAGCAAGTGAGTCTAACTGCCGGATGTGTTGCTTGTCGTGCCTGGCTCCTCCACCCGCACCTCCTAGGCTGCTGGTGGATGCAAACCTGACAGGTAGGATGTCTGCTGCACCCATGCTGCTGGGAGCAGAGCTAGGCAAGGCAGAAGACATCAGCGGCCCCCAGTCCCGGCCCGGCCATAAGCCTAGCCCTCCTGCTTGGGCCTTGAAGGGCAGATGAGGTCACTGATGTCCACATTCTCAACTGTGCCCAAATGTATGTTCATCCTTCAACCCCAAATTCTTGCCATATTTCTATGGTAAACTCCCCTAAAACCAGTAATAATAACAGCCCAAAAATTAGCATTTATCCAGTGCTTACATACACCAGGCACTATCCTGTGTTTCTAATATTCATCATCTCATGTAACAGACACATTAATGTATCTATAAGGTGATTCAAACAGGGCCTAGGCAATAAATTACAGTCAATTCTAATAATTGAGGTATGGCTTATCCCGCTTCGTGGATTATAAAGGCAAATTTTTAATGCCTTGCTCTTTAGCAGTCTTCTGCTCCACTTTCCTATTAGCTGGGGGAGCTTGTTTCAAATGATGTAATAATAAATGTATAAGCATCACGCACAGTACCAAGAGTTCAATAAATGTGAGCTGACATTAATCTTATGTTAGATATACTGAGAGCTCAAAGAATGCCTCACTGGATCAGCAATTTTAAGAGTTCTGAGCCTTACGGGTCAGTAAAAATCTTACCAAAAAGAAAAGAAAAGAAAACAAAAACAAGCAAAAACCAGACTCACAGAGCACTGCCAAGTTTTACAGCAAGCGAAGAAGAGATTAAAAACTACTCCTTTCCACCCTAAAAGAATATTGGAACATCAACAAAGCAACAGGGCCAAATACGGAATTGACAATGGTCTTTTAAAATAAACACACTTAAAATAAAAAGCTCATGGCACTATATTTATTTCAAAGGAATAGAAAAAAATTCTGTCATGGACATAAACCAGCCCTCGTCTGAAGTGGAGTTCTAGAAACACGTGTGCAAGCCGCCACGCACCCAGCTAGCAGGGCCTCTCCTTCCACAGTCCCGCCGCAGCCGGGCCTCTCCCAGCTTGGCCCCCGCCCCCAGCCCTAGGGGAGCCGTGATTAACACAGCCCCAGACTTTGGGCCAGGCCCAAGCTGGGAGGAGACTCATCTGATTAACCGGCCATCAGCAGCAGACAGACAGCCCGGAGCCCAGGCGCAGACCATTCAAATAATGATCATCATAAACAGCCCATTTGCAACTAAAAAGAAATAATTTTAATGAGCTTGAAGCAGATGATGGAAGCAGCTGAGGCTCGGGCCACTGTGCAGAGAGGAAGGGAGCTGGAATAGAGCCCTGCCCGGGCCAGGCGCAGCAGGAAGCAGGGCTTTGGAAGAAGGGGCTCCTTTGCTGGGACTGGCAGCCCCACAGCTTATTGGCTGGAGGTGCCCACTGCCAGCGAGTGCTCCAGCTCCAAAGGGTCTGCCAGGGGCATGTGGGGCAATCTCAGGACTCGCACTTCCAGACCTCAGAACACACAGGCCACGGGGCTGGGGATTTAGCTCAGCGGCACAGCACCTGCCTGGCAAGTGCAAGGTCGTGAGTTCGATTCCCGGTACCGGAGAAAACACACACACACACACACACACACACACACACACACACACAAAAGAACACACAGGCCACAAGGAGCCTGGTGGCCCAAACCTACACACCTGTTCCTCTGCATAAATTTTGCCATGTTACTATTTCGCCTACATAGCTACCCACTTAATTTGTCTTCAGATTGACTCCTAGAGTTTTCTTGGTTGGGACAGGCATAACTTTAAGCTCAATGATAAGCTCAGTGAGTGTTTACATCCTCGCAACTGCTGCCCAGCTCAAGACATAGAACACACATACCCTAGCCCCTCAGAAGCTCCCTTGTGCTCCTAAATGTATCTATTATTATTATTATTATTATTATTATCATTTTGAGACAGGGTCTTGATATGTAGCTCATCCCAGCCTTGAGCTTACTGTGTAGCCCAGGATGGCCTTGAACTTGTGGTGATCCTCCTGCCTCAGGCTCCCAAGGTAACCATTAATCTGACTCTAGCATCATAGGTACAGCTTGACTGTTCTTAACCTATCTATGATCCTCCCTTTCTTAAACCTAAATAAGTGCATTTGAAAAGGAATTTTGTTACTAAGGTACCCTGTGCCATACACACTGCCTTAAAAATAAAAGTACAACAAAAACAAAGCACTGCTCTCTGTCCCTATAAAAGGTTAGTAAGACCTTAGTTTTCTGTATCTGTAAAATGGGGATGACAATTTGTGTCTACAAAACTATTATGATGACTGGCCTGATACACATTGTCCATAAGGAGGTAAAGTTTTGTTTTAGTTTTGGTTTTTGAGACAGTCTCACATATATATAGTTCAGGCTGGCCTGAACTCACTATATAGCCCAGGCTGGCCTCTAACTTGCAGTGATCCTCCTGCCTCAGCCTGCTGAGTGCAGCTACCATGCCCAGCAAGGAAAATGCCAGGGACCATGTCCAGGGGGATGTCAGTCCCTCCAGGGTGGGGCATTGTCTGTTTCACAGCTTTATTTGCAGATCCTTGCCCGATACCTGGTGCAAAATGGGCATCTGGAAATATTTGTGGAATGAATGACGGTTACTATAAATGAGCATGAGATGTGCCTTGTGGGCGGGGCAAGGTGGGGACATCATTTGGAGCAGTCAAATGTCCACCCTGCATTTCAGGCCCACAGAGCAATTCAGGGCATTCCCAACAGCATC